CTTCACCCAGCCGATACCCTGTTCTGAAAGATATCTGTACTTCCCCTGAACACCCATGCTCCAGTGTCATCCCCTTCCCCACGTCCTGCCTTTTTGTGTTTATAATCCCTGTGTGAATAAGTAAAAATTACAATTTTAAAAAAAAAGAGAAATGAGCTGACTTTATTATCATGTAATTGTGATATTCTGTGGTTTTGCGACTATTGCTTTTGTGGATTTTGCACTGCTAAAGGTACAAATTCTATAAATAAATAAATAAATAAATAAATATTAAATATTATGTTGAATATCATCTTCAGTAACCTGTGGTAATAAGTCAATATTTCTTAAGGCTAACATTCCAGTATCCTCAGAGGACCACTCAAAATATTCAAGTGTAGATCAGAAAATACGTCTTAGAAAGATCAGATTCCTCTGGTAGACAGTCATCTACTCATAATGTTTTCATCCTTATATCTACTCATAAGTCAGAAATAAGATTACGTTGCTGAAACTACCAAGCCATCCCACTATAGTTCCATTCCTTCAATAATATAAGACAAATGTAAAGCAATGGTTATATTTCATTAACCCCCTATAAATCCTGGATAAGTACTTAGCAAATACAAATTAAATTGTCTCTGAGCCAGGTTGTATATAGGGTCGCCATTATCTCACTTCCTATTCTATGAAGCCTTTGTATGATTTTTAAGTTTACTCATGTGTACTTTTCATGAAATTTTTCCTTTGAATAAGTAGGTTCTTAAATAATATTTTGGAGAACCATGTTCTATAAAAAATAATTAAAAGGAGTATTTAGTAAGAGGAGAAACTGGGTGGATGTCTTATTAATTATTCAGAAAGTCATGATTTTGCCACTCAGCTAGTGGATACTGCTCTGTGGGGCTCAACTGATAAATGGTTGGTCAGAAGTTGGGGTGGAGGTGCTTGATCTTGATAAATCAACAGTAATTATAATGACATGGTGTTATCCATTTTACATCATGTAAATTGTTGATATTTCATTATGGTAATTTAAAGCAATCAGTGTTAATCACATCAGAATTAGACACTCAAGTCTGAAAGTAGTAACTCTGAGACCATTAGAGTAAACCATAAAGTTAAAATCTAAAGGCCAATGGGTTTCTTTTTGTTTCTAATATCTTTTATGATATATGTATTTTTATTTATCTTTATGTGTGTGTGGTATCCATGTAAGTATGTCCCACATGTGTGTCATGTACATGGATGCAAGTAGAGGATATTGGTTCCCCTAAAATTTGAGCTCCATGCTGTTGTGAATTATAAGACGAGTGCTAGGAGCTGAAATCTAGTCCTCTGGAAGAGAAGCAAGCACTTTTTTTTAACTGTCAAGCCATCTCCCGGCTTTTCCATTCTTATTTCTTATACTGTATCACTGCATCATCATTTGTCAAAAGACCACTAAATATCATTATATTCTGGTACTTTTGGGTAAAATCATGACAAAATCAAAGACACTTGGATACTTGGTGGATAATCTATGTTGTAGATAAATTTTCAATTGACTTTAGGTTTCAATTTTAAGGTGTTAAGTATATACTTCATGTGTGTTTGTATTTGACTCCTGAGGAACTGGAAACTCACTACTAACACTTTGTCATAGAAGCTAACCGACTAATGAATAAACAAAGGCTGTGACTGACAGTGGATAGAATGTCAGAGAATAAGTAGAAAAAAAGAAGACAACCCCAAAGCAAAACAAAACCTTCCACACATCTCTGCAACTGCAGGAGAGAAGGTATCAATATAAAAAGCCTGATTTCTAGCCCAGGACCAATGACTGGCCAAGATGACAAGGCAACATAAGACACTGTTCCTTTCTCACATGGTCCCTTGGCACCTGGATATGTTTGCTGCCATGATGGTAGACAACAAGAGCTGATACAGTACCAGATGCACACACTGCAAGCTTTAATCCCAAGAGCAGAGGATGGAGCAAGGGTGCAAGAGGAAACAGAAGCTTCTGAAACCCATAAATACATTAATCATGAGGCATAGTACATGCTATAGTGATAATGGAAAAGGTCAATGACCTGTACCTGGAAGATCAAATGAATAACAAAACAGGGAACTTTTGATGGTATACGTATAGGTTTTCTCTGCTTATGAACTATTGCAATTAAATTTATGCCTAAGGTAAAATTTTTAAGTTATAAGAAAATCTTTCTTTATGTTCTTGGTCTTTGATTCTATAGGTATTTTACAGACATTAACTAGAAAATTGTATTTTATATGTATATACAAAATGCATGAAAAATGATATATTTATAGTTCTTGTTGAATAAATCTCATATTTTCTTAGGTATAACATGTCATGGCCCTTTATAATCAGGTGAAATGTCATGATTCTTTTAATAAAGTGGCTACACATCTCAAATATTACATCTTGTGACTGAATGGTGTTATATGATACAAGTGATATTTTTAAATGAAGATAAAGCCAAAGGAAGTATGAAATATATGATTTTTTATATTGAAGATATTCATTGAAGAATTTGTTTATCCATTCAGGATTCAGAATCCAGGATAATATTATAAATTATCTGTAATTCCTTATTTAAGATGTTTAAATTTAAATGTTTGGAGCAATTTATATATCTTCCTCATAGACTATATATGGAAAATAATGGTGAATTATATTTTTCTTTACTTTATAGAAAAGAATATTATTTGTTTTGATGTAGGTCAAGCAAATTTAACAGGTTCATTCTGCAATTAATAAACTGAAAACTTAGCGTGATATCAATTTGACCTCAGAGGGAGGATCAGAAAGATTGAAGAACTATTTTATAGAATGTAGTTTCTTTCTCACTACATCTATAACAGAGATGACATTAAAAAGAATTTCCTGTACTGCACAGTAGCCCTAAGACATGCTTCTACTATAAATGACAGGTGGAAGATTGGAAATGATACTGAACTGAGTTTTACATTTCCCATGTCTCTTGGCCTTTGGCACTGTGGAGAAATGACATTCAAAATTTTCTGTACTGCTTTTCCACAGTAGTTGGCAAAATCCTGTTCTTACTTTGCCCTGACAATCTGTCAGTGCAGAATTAGCTTAAAATCCTCTTACCTCTCTTTTGATGCACAACTGAACACAAATCATCTTCATCCCGTGATGCTAGGACTTTATGAAAAGTTCTCTTCTGACATATTAATATAAATACTCTAATGAAAATTGACACAAAACAATTAGTTTTTATTCATTGGAGTCTACTTTCTAGATGTGTTACTTTCCTAGTTCAATACATAGTGATATTGTATCACAATAGTGTGATGGCATGATAAATTGATACCATAAAAACATATTTCATTTGAAAATAAGTCTGAAATTGGGAAATAATACTGAACAGACATCTTGTTTAAGAACTGGTGTAATTTAGGTGAAAACACTTACATTTCAAAAGTTATTAATGGTCTATATGTAAAATCTGAGACATGGATACTGAATGTAGTTAGTTTTATCTTATGATTGAAGTGATTATCAGAGTCAAAAATCTTCAGTTGTGGAAATCATTCACTTGGGAACAGAATGAGGAATGCAAAGATATCAAAATCTCAGTTGAAAGGAAACTATAATTAGCTTTAGATGTCACAGAGATAATTGATACATTCAATGTGCCAAAAGATATTTAGAGAGTGTTGAAAAAATTGGACTGAAAGATAGAGAAAATGATATAGAAGTAACCAAGAAGTAACGAAGCATAAAAGCTAACCTATTCTAGTGTGAGACAAAAAAATGCAATGTCTAAAGCACCAGATCACTGCTAGAAGGCATCTTCTCCCCTTGGAAAAGTTCCTCATTGTGCATATGTCTGAAGACTGGGTTTTCACTGACCACTTTAAAATTGATTAATTTTCTTTAGAACACTAATGGTGATTCAGTATATTAACTGATGGTCAATATCATCAAATTATTTTTATTTAAAATAGTTTTTGAATTATGACTTCACTGACTGACATGTAAATAAGTGACATCACTGAGTTTTAGACAATAGGATAACATGTTCATCATGAGATTGAAACATTGGTTAACAGATGTATTATGTGTTGTACTTTAGATTTCGACTATCCCTCTAAGATTCCTGGATTGAATACTCAGTCTTCCAAGTCTTACACTCCTAGGTGGTGAAATATTCACATTAAATACTTGAAATCTAGTAAAGGAAATTAGGTTTTGGGGGATATATCCTTGAAAATGATTTGGGAATCTGTCTCTTCCTTTTCCTGTATCCTGGCAACTCTAAGGTGAACACTATTCCAGCTTTCCACACAGTATTATACTGTAATATGAAATAAAAAATTATGGACTAAATCCACTGAGCCATGACCCAAATTAACCTTTGCTACTTATAAATGGTATAGCTTTGGCAAGTAGTTGTAATAAAGAAATCTAGCACACCATGTTCAAAGTATTATAAAGTATATTAAGGAAATTTGTTATGAAATCATATTTTTTATCTTTGTAGCCATTATTCGTAATGTTTCAGGAAAAGATGATGATCAGTAATGAACATTTTTCTGCCATAAGGCATCCAAGATAATTCACAAATTATAAGAATTGGACAGTTTTAAACTCAAATAATAAAATGAAAACAATATTCAAGCAATTTTATGTGTGGTCAAATATTTAATTAAGGACCAATTCCTAGGTCTACAAAATATCAGACTAGATTTATACATTTCATACATAATCATTTTTAGAGTCACCTTAGAGATTTTATATTTGGTGTGCAAATAATAAGTAAACAGTTATGTAAGTTTCACTTTTTTTTGGTAGTAGGCAAGAAAGGCATGGAGAAGGTTTCTCTATATAACCGAGGCCCAACTGAGAATAAGCTGACAGAGAATATTCTTATAAGTTATTTATAGGTATGAAAGCAACGTTTTTTGGGTTTCATTAATTTCTGTCTATTACAAAATATCCTGGGAGAGTGGATTGAACATTGAGCTATAAAGAAGTTTCTGTCACTTACCTCTTTTAACATTTCTGCCTGTGCTCATGGATTTATCGAAGGGACACGGGCAACGCCCTTCACATTTGATAGAGATCTGTTTTTCTAAGACACACGCCTGATATTCTAGTTTGCACTGTGTAAATAAAAAAATGAAACAAAATATTAACTCAAATATATATAGATTTAATTACATTAATAGAAGGTCAAAAATGCATAGGCATATTACATATACATATAATTTTCACATGATTTCATTTATATCTATATTGCTAGGGGATATCTTATACACTCTTGATTAATTGTTGTATGGATAAAGCAATACTGCAGTTACCCAAGGAGTCATTTTGGTGATCAATGACAGAATATTGCAATAGTCAAGGAATCGTCAGATGACTTCATTTCTTTCCTCTTCTCTTTTCTTTTCTGTTCTTTTTTCTCTTCTCTACGCTTCATTCTATTTTCTTTGTATCTTTGTCTCCCTTTTCTTTTCATTTTTTTCTTTTCTAGAGAAGCATTTTCTGTATAGGCCTGACAATGTGAAACTCAGTATACTAGGCTAGGATGGAACTCAGAAACCTCTCTCTCTCTCTCTCTCTCTCTCTCTCTCTCTCTCTCTCTCTCTCTGTCTCCCTAGGCTGGAGTTAAAGGTGTGAGTCACTACTGCTGGCCAGACCAATTCTATAAATTGATTACAGAAGTTAAAGATATAAAAGGACAGAGGAATAATATATAAATCAACAGTATATCTCTTGAGTTATATTTTGGATATATTACTATTCTGTTTTAGTTATCTTAGAATATATGACTTATTTCTCTTCTTTGACTCTGCTTGTGGCACAGATTTGATGGTGTCTTTAGTCATTGACTTGTATACCCCTGAGTGGTATACGAAAATACTTTAAGAAAATCATTGATAAATTTGTATGTGTAAGTTGACAAACATAAAATAATTTTATGGTTACTTTTGATTTTTCTACAATGATAATACTTCAAACACACAAACAGAAAGACCAAATGTGAATATTTAGATACAAAATTACTATTACATATATGTTGTATCCATACTTATAACATGATACATGATATATATGCTTACATTTTATATAGGCACATATATTTTGAATACATGCACAAATACACAGACACACAGACACACAGACACACACACACACACGCACACACATACATAATCGTATACAAAGTTTTTAAGTGGGGTTTCTCTAAGTCTTAGATGTGAACAAAGTGAGGTCCTTACAAAACTTAGCTCTGTAAGATAACACTGTGATGGGGTAATTGTTACTCCTCTCTAATCTCCCCAGTGGGTGCTCATGTGCTTCTTGCTACTGCTCAGTGTTCTTTATTCAAAAATGAAAGGCACCCACATGCTGATTTAATTTTAATATGCCTTAAGCAGCTCAATGACTGGGCACCTTGAAACCTCTGTGTGACTAAACACTCTCCTTTCTGATATTTCTAAACTATTTCTTACTAAAAATTCTATTTCATTTCTGCTGCTCCAGACCCAGTCGGTGCTGTGGCTCCTGGGGCCATTCTTCCTCAATTCTCATATGGCTGGGTCTCTGTTTTCCACAGCTATCATGCTTACAATCCTGTTCCTTTCCTGGTAGGGCAATCCTAAAAACTATTCTCTTGTCCTCCCTTGCCCAGAAAATCTAATGTCCTGGCTCTTTCTCCCTGTGCAACCACTGGGGCAAAAGCCAACTAGGGGCAGGGACCCTCAGCATCTTTCAGACGTGCCAGTTCTTGTGTATAGTTGTGAGAGCCAAAATAACAAAAATAGTAATAGAACCCATCCATAAAAGAGTACTTTATATATCCAGAGATCAATTCTATCGCTTTAGTTAAAAAAAAAAGAAACAAAAAACATGTATACATATATATTCATGATTATAACAGGTTCTTCTTCAGATTATTTCTTTCTGACTTATGCTTATAACTATTAGTAAAACAGCAACAGTACATGTGCAATTCTATCATCCAAGTTTCAAAGTAGGGTCAATGTACAAAAACTATTGAGAATTACATTTCTCTGAATACCAATCCCTAAATATTGAATGTAATGCTATTTTCTCAAATCTTCTCATGTAAACCTTCATATAAAATAACCAGTACAATAACATCTGTCTCCAGAATGTCAAAAATCCTTTTTTTTACACAGTCCATGAGTTATTAAGCAAGGACACTTATTTCACAGTAGTTAACAGAAAGCAACTGGAACTGAAAGAACACTATTAAAACATTATGGCACAAGTGATTTCATACTTTAGTGTAGTTTTGTTTTGGCATGACTTGAGTTTCTCTAGAAAATAGGAACACCTTAAAATGTTAAGACCGTGTGTCATAAAATCCTTCTTAAGATAGTATTTCATAGCTGCATATTTGACACAATAAAAATTTAGAATCTAACTCCATCTTTTAAGAGGCTATGATTACTTTCCTACAGAGAAGAACTGTATATGCTAATTCTCATCTATCATGATTCTTTATAAGTTGGTCCCATAATTTACTCAGAGAAAATTATATTAAATTTAAATGAAGTAGACATTCTGGCTCCAATGTGAAATACACCAGCAAATAATTTAATTCAGCTGACATCAGGAAGCAATAAACTCATTCAGTGACTAGTCATATCACTCAAATCCTCGCAACACCTCATTTTCCTTGTTGAAAAACTCTTTCTTTAGTGGACAAACAGAATCCTAGACCGTTTCTGCAACAAATAATTAAAAACTGTGAACAGTCTTACAGAAGTTTGCAACTGAGAAATGGCTCCTTCATTGTAACAGAACTTTCAGAATTAACACAATGTTTTAATAATTGTAAAAAAAATATTTTGCCATGAAAAAAATCACAAAGAATTTTAAACTTATTCCTTAGCATATGTTAAAATTTCAGCATATAATATAAAATATAATTAAAAATTTAATTACAAATGTTTTTGAGAACCAAATTAGTTAATATTTTTAGTGTCACTCCTTTCAACTTATTACTTTAGTATACCTTGGGCTTAGTGATATGAAAGTTCTAATTCATTACACTATTTACAAAGTGTGCAAGAGTCAGAAGTCATATAGGAAAGGCAAATACCAACAAGTGATATTCTGGAGATGACTGATCATTTTGCATGGCTATGATGGGTAAATATTCTGATTTGCAAGGTCTTCAGATATTTCATCTCAGGATTGATTCTTATTATTATGTCTTTCCTGTTATTAAATAATATAATGATCCCTGGGTATCAGCCCATTCTATTGGGACGATTTTCTGCAGATGAGTGAAAATGTACTTTCTTGTATAAATGCTACGTTTACAAATAAATGATTTCTTAATTCCTAATAAGGATTCTATAAAATTCCTAAATTTACACAGGCAATTTTGAGCCCTCTATGGGTGAAGGCTGCAACTAGGGCTTTGTAAGTCTTCATGTGTTATGGGCTCATTGCACTAGGATAGAAAGAAGCCTTGGAAATTTACAATCAAGGAAAACATTCCTTCTGGACTGCCTGTGAAACCATTATCTGAAAACAGGAGTCGTAAACTGGGAATGGATAATTTATTGTAGATACAAAAACAGAAGATAAAATATTGACTATCTTTATCTATACAAAACTTTGATACAAATCAGAAACAAGGCGGGTGATTTGCCTCTTGACAAAACCATGCTAACTTAATGCCATTAAGAATTATTGTTTTAAACTTTTAATGAACCTATGTTGTTAGTGATATAATCAATGTTTAATTGGATAACTATTCTTAATGGAAACACACACACACACACACACACACACACACACACACACACACA